TATATATATTGTAGAATATATAAAGTATATATATATATTATATATATTATATGAAAATTTTATTTATAGTTAAACTCTGGTTCTGTAGTATATAATAATTGGTAAAAGATTTAGTTAAAATAAAATTTGTTTTAACAACAGTTTCCGCAGACGAACGAACCAAGCCCTGTTAAGACTTTTTTAGACGTGGTGACGATCATCGGCTGTAGCACATCTATAATCTGTCTTATTATTACATTGGTTACCATTCTGAGTGCAAAGTAAGTATGAATCACTTATCAGTAAATGATGATGATAATAATGACGATGATGATGCTGCTAATTATGATAATAGTAATTACAATAAAAATGTGGTGTTGCCTAGATTTTCAATATTTTGGATCGGTCGGCCTTGGGCAACTGAACATTTGCTTTCGGCATAATGAAAACGATAATAATAACAATAAGACAGTTTGTAAAGCGCAAATAAATAAGATTTCTAAGCGATAAAGATAACGGGAACGATATCGATAAAAATAACTATAATAATAATTAAAAAAATACTTGACAGGCTTGGTCCTAATTGATAATAATGAAACATAATTATGATCATATCCATAAGGATTATAATAATAATAATAATAATAATAATAATAATAATAATAATAATAATAATAATAATAATTTTTCTCGTTTTATTCAACAGAAACATCAGAAGTCGTCAACCACAAAAGATAATGATCAATTTGTGTATATCACTGTTATGCTTGTACATCTTGTTCATATTGGGCGTGGACCATGCTAAGCCTGGAAACAGAGGGTGTACAGCCGTAGCGGTTCTTGTGCATTACTTCCTTTTAACATCGGCATCGTGGACGTTAGTGGAGGCCATCAATATGTATTTCTTATTTATTAAAGTCTTCAATCTGCCCGGCAGGAAGTTCATATGGATAGCTGCATGCCTGGCCTGGGGTAAGTTTTAGTCCTATTGTGTGGTAAAAATGTGAAGTGTTTGGCCTCATGTGCTATATAAAACGGGCATTTCCTCCCTCTTCACAGCGAGGTGAAGAGTGAGGGCTCAAGGATTAGGCGAGGAGGCATTAGCTGGCAAAATAAGGTGGTAGTGGTTTTTAAAATACTTGGCGTAATTTCTTTGCTTCAAAAATACCACTTATTCAAATAGTACAGCTCTATTTGAATTGTTTAATCTGTGAGGTTGTTAAGTACAGTTTCCCGAAAATACGCAAATACAACAGTCATTATTTAAAAAATATTTATGTATTACTGTACCAAAAGATAAATTTAACGGTAGCACATTACTTGTTATATAAAGAGTTTCACAAATTTAGCACTAAAGATTTAAGGAGAGAAAAAAAAAAACAGATGGCAAAAGCAAAAACGAGGATTGAATAAAGATTAATTTAATTGGTGATGGTGTATAATTTGTATGGCAGGTTATTTTTTTTTTAATCATAAAGGGTATTTACTTAAATCTCATTATTCAGAGAATATACAATTATTTAGTTTCGTTATAAAATATGAAATTGTTGAATTGGTTTCGTTTTGTTTGTTTTTATATTTTGGTACAGTAAATCATTTGGGCAACGACTATATGCACTAGAACTTTCAGTTGGATTCATAGTATGCCGGTGTCTTTCTGACTGAGGACACTCTGACCGAAATTTAGAGTTAATTGCTCTCTCTTTCAGAAGGCTGACAATGTCTAATTTTTTCAAAGCAGTTGTAAAGTTTGCGAAATTTTGTCCCAGGCATTCAAATTTGATTACAATTATATCTCTGATAATTACCACGCCACATATTCTAGAGCAGCGTTGTATGGATTTTCTATAACTGTACATTATTATTAAAATACTTATCGTAATTGTTGTTTTTGAGAAACTTTTTCTTATCCATGATCAAGTAAACAAACTGGTGCTTTTTTGTTGAAAAATATGCCTAATAATATTTGTATCGCCATTCAAAACACCATTAGAAATAATATTTGTATCATTAATAATTTAATATTTTTATAATAGGTGCGCCGTTGTTATTGGTTATTGTGTTGTCAATAGCATCATCAGATTTATACATCAACGAAACGTAGTAAGTATTATTTTCGGCACACATAAACTATAGATCGCTTTAGGTATAAACAATGTGTTTGTTTTACTGCAGTGTTGTTTATAATAAGGCCTACTCTTTATTTACTCACTCTCACTCCTAACTTACCTCCAGACTTATCTCACCAGCCTACACATTATATATTTATAAATAAGTATAATGGTCGATAATGATAATGATGGAGATGGTGTTAGTACTGATGATGACGTCAGTTTTATGATGAAAATTTGTATAATATGAAAGTACTTTTTTGTAAGGATGGGGTTGAGAAAAAGAAGAACGATGGTTATGTAAAATTGAATGATTTCAATATTATTATTTTCAGCTGCTACATTAACAGTTCCAAAGGGAAACTTCTCTTGGCTTTTGTGATTTTACCATTCAGTGTAATCATCTTCTGCAACATCGTCATCTTTGTAATGGTCATCAGGAAGCTATTTCTACAGGAATCAGTTCCAGGAAAGATTGCCGCCAAATCTGGCAATGATAAAAAGAAGCGCGTTCTAAACGCTATAGCTATTTCAAGCCTGCTAGGCCTTACATGGATTTTTGGATTCTTGGCGTTTGAACACGCAGCACAGCTACCGTTTCTGGTTCTTTTCTGTGTCTTCAACTCGTTCCAAGGAGCTGCTATTTTCTATTTATTCTGCTTCAGACAAAAGGAATGTAAAGATATCTGGCGCTCGTGGTTTAGAGGATTGACAAATAAAATGTCAAATACTCTGCGAAGAATGTCAGTACAGGACACTTCATTGTTCACCGTTACTGATTTATCAAGCTCGCAAAAAGCAGAAACTCCTGCAAGCATTTCGCTTTCAGTGATTCACACTTAAAATAATACAATGTCCAGAATAATTCAGTAACATTGTAGATTAGGCCTTTACAAAACTTTTCACAGATTGTTTACAACTTTGTTGCTTGTTATTCTTTGTAGTTTAAATTATCATTTGCTTCTAAACAGAACAAGTACCCGAAAATACGGCACAAAAAACTATAACGATTGATCTAGAAAAACTACATAAGGTTTTCTGGTCTCAGGATTTCTTTCTGACAGAAATTCTAAGAAAGTGTTTTGTTTAAATGGCAATGCAGTTATATTTACATAGTGCCTTATACCAAAACGATCACAACGCTCTTGAGGTGTGGACGAGCTCTTGCAGTAACTTTCTTCTCTGCTAAGGGTCTCTTCGTGTCTGAGTTTGTGAAGTCAAATGATGAGGTCAAGTCTAGACACATTGTTACTCATACTGATGTACCTCAAGTTATATACATCTGACTTTCAATGTACTCACACAGATATTCCAGTAGAGTTTGCTGATGATACTGCATTACTTGGCCTTATTAAGAAAGATGATGACAGCCATCATATGGCTGAAATTACTTCTTTTAAGTACTGTGATGACAATTATCTCATACTTAATATTATGAAAACCAAAGAAATTGTTATTGACTTTTGTAAAAATATAACAAATATTGATAATGTTGTTATTAATTATATGTGTTGAAAAAGTGTCTACTTATAAATATCCTGGGGTCGTCTTCGATGACAAACTCAAATGGGAAGATCAGATTGATAAATTGATGAAAAAACTTAACTCTCGTACGGTATGTATTGCCTTCGTAAAATGAAAGAGTTTAACGTTAGAAGTGATATTAGCATTAGGCCTATGTTCTATCAGTGATTTGCAGTGTCTTGGCTTATTGTTTAACATCCTGGGGAGGTAATGCTTCGAAGAAAGAAATTGGGAGGATCGATCGGTTAACAAAGAAAACCGGAAAAAATTACTGATACGTGTCTAGATGATCTTGACTCATGAAGACTTGAAGAGGTTATTCACATCCATACTAGATGATGAAACTGACCCACTTCATGAGAAGTTGATTAGTTCTATCATGCCTAGAAGTGGTAGGATGCGTTTGCCCAACGTTTGCACAAGTCGTCATCTTTACTATTTTGTCCCTATTGGCATTAAACACTTTAATACGAACTATTGTAGATACGATCTATACTGAGTGTTCGATATGAATGGGATCTATACTTAATATTCAGTATAGATCCTATGCTTAATATTCGGTATGGATATGATCGATACTGTATATTAAGCGTTGATAGAAATGGCAATAAGAATTGTAGTAATAATAATAATAATAATAATAATAATAATAATGATAAAAATAATAATAAAAATATGCAGCTTTCCATTACTTATTTAAGTAATGTATACTGTAGTGTTGTATCATATTTTATTCTGAATGTATTTTTAAGGTCTTTCCATTCTTTTTTGTGTTCGATTTTTGATGTTTTAGTATTTCAACGTTTTTTGTATCTGATGTTTTGAATTAGTGTGATGTACTTTTTGTATTTATATTTGAATGTAATTTTATATGCAAGGTTTTAAGTTTTATCGAGAAAATAAATATTTGGAGAAAATAAAGTTCGATTCAGATTCTGATTCTGAGCTACCCGGTAAACCGGTACTTCTCGTCTGTCTACGACAGGGGCTGAATGGATTAGTACACCGGGGTAATAACCCCTACTCGTCTCGAAAGATGCACAGAATCAAAATTGTGTACACTGGGTGGGACTACGTTTTATAGTCCTTATTATCTGAGAAAATGTTGTGCGAGTAGAGCTGATGGCGTAGCTGATGGCGTAGACTCTGTATAACAG